CAAATTGATATTCAGGATGAAAACATGTTCATGTATTATGAATATTAATTCTGCTTGGAACTAGACTGAGCCAGATTTTTAATGTGCCTGTGTACAAGGTAACAGTCCGCAGAAGGACATGTCACCTTACCATGCAACATTATTCTGACTCCAAACCGACCAGTCTTTGCACTTACTTCTTAATGCCGCGTGCTTAGAGGAGAAGCAGCCAAAATCAATTGTAAAGCCTGTAGTTTGACACGGCCTAGTTCTAACTCACAAATCCTACATTCGTGAAACACGCAACCACGAGCCCAATAAGTTGGTTTCTTAATGTTCATAAAACATTTTGTTAGCGAATCATCCTTAGGACTTTAAGACGATATAAAAGCTTAATAGAGCTTATGTGTTCTGTATATTAAATTTCGTCTATAAACAAAGCTTTTGAACTTGACTAGAAAGTTAGTAAATTTTAAAGCATTCGGGATGAGAAGAAAAATTGATTTTAAGACATTAACTAAAATGGTTATTTTTGGGTCTGTTTAAAGTTCTTCACAATGTCCTGCTGTATCGATTTCAATAAAACACGGGTTACACGTGATTGATGTCACAATTAAATTTTCAAAAATATGTATTTTTTTAAATACCGCGGGGATAATTACTTTTGGAGTTGCCTGTCATGAAATTCAATAAAAACATCCATTTATATGTGTTAACCTTTAAACATTGTAAACACTTGGTTATTGAATATTTTTTCCTCCTGTCTGATTCGAAATGACTGGCCTTTCTAATAGTTCGGCTGTGTTCGAAAAATATATTGATATGCCTAAAATTCGGAATAATCCGTTTTCATCATGTTCTTTGCCCAATTTGACTCGGTAGACTAAATATGTTTTAATATTTGAAACTTCGCTAACGCATGAAATAAAGACAGATACAAATAGAATGACTGTCGATACTAAAATGAAAAAAAAGCACATGACATGAAAGAGTTATGTCCTACTTAAACCAAACAAAAAATTAAACAAGTTATTACTAAACATAAATTAATTAGCTTTGCATGAATTTTACTTTGTTAGATACAAAATGTTCCGCTTTTGCAAGGAAATGTTTTGTTTTGAACATATTTGTTTTTCCTCTATAAACATGCCAGAAGCAATTATTTGTAAAACTATGATTAAAAAAAATATTTAAATGACTTGTAGCTTTATTTCAAATTTAAATGTAGGTACACACAAAGGCACAAGCACATTTTGTTTTATTGGAACATTACAAACAACCAACGGAACGAGAAAACTGTTGAAGTATCGGACTCGATGTAATCGACTTTTAGAGCGGTTTATTTGTAAAGCCAGTAAGTAAATAAAACAACTGCCATACATTAAAATATACAGTATCGTAATTATATTTCAAAGAAACGTATCAATAACACTCAACCATTTTGGTTCTGGTTGTAAAAAGGAAAAAAAGTTATACATTTTTATTTATTTGGAGAGAGTGTGTATATCAAAGATGATATAAATGTTAATTTTAAAACCGAAATATTAACGAAAAACAATTGAAAAAGACAAACAGTAAAACATTCATTTTTTTATAATTGAAGAAAGTGTGTAAAGCAATGTTGATATAGATATTTATTTCATCAAATTATGAAAAACAATAAAATAATTTTTGAGTCATCTTTATCCAATACTTTTGAATTCCAATATGCGGATTAAATTAATTTACCTCACAGTAAATATATAACGTTAACATATTTTCACCATGTAATAGTTTATCAACACAATATTTCACGGCCCAGGCAGCAATGTGAAAATGATAAAAAATCTATGGCTTGCATGAATTATTTCGTTTCTAATAGAACAAACACGGTAATTTGTAAAACTGAAGCGAAGGTAAGATTGCCGTGTGTATGGATGATTTATTTTACCCCCTGTAGCATAAAAGCTACACATTTCAAATAAATATTAGACTTGCATGAATTATATCTTAAAAACCCGCTAGAAAAATGTGTTTAATCCTTTTAAGTCTTAACCCAAACATTTTTTTACGTAGGCTACTATTTACTGTCAAATCCACAGTTCACATGTCGTAACTAAGGAGTGAGTCGCCATGTTGACTTGCTGAAATCCATGAATGTGAATCCATGTGTTAATGATGCAATAGAATAGAAAACAAAACCACACCTGCCTCAAAACTCCGTTTTAAAGCGATATTATTCGAATTTAGATCTTACACAGAACGGAATAATCTTCAGCTTGAGAATTTTCATTTCTATGACGTCATGTTTTGACATGACGTTAATGCGCCAAGATCATTCATGAAATTTTGCGGAATTTAATTTTATTATGATTTTATACATTTTTTTAAATCTTACGCATTAATTATTTTTCTTATGGATTAGAATAGAAATAGCGGTTCTCTAGTTTCTTCTTTAAATTCAATTTGAACACAACGAAATCCACATATAGTGTTTGCACATAGTTTACGATCCATGTGGATTTACGTGGGAGTTAACAAGTAACAGCCATTTATATGTATGTCTGCGCTAAGTATAGATATAGCATTTTATTACGCTGTTGTTTACAAAGCGAAAGAAGCACGTCATATTTGAATGTTCATTCATAACCTGCCAATTTAAAAAAAAAATTTGATTAAGATGGTAACATTAACCAATTAATTGAGATATTTATTACGCTTTAGGTATTGAAAAGGAGACAACATCATTAAGTATAAAATCAACATCTGCATTTCTTACTGAAATGCTAACTTCTGCTACTGACAAGGAGTCTTCTGGTAATTATATTGAAAAAAATAAGTACGGACACCCACATTGTATTCGATACATATTTGGATAACTACTAACTTTCAGAAGGTTTGATTATATAAGTAAATGCTATTACGCACTATGGTGAAGTAATAGTCATCAGCGTTGTATCTGTTTAGTTTATAAATAAAAAAGCTTTAATACTTTGAGTCAGAGTATTCCATTTGATACTGAGTCAATATTTCAGGAATTCCTTAGGCAAATTATTATATTCTATATCGGAGTTAAGTGCATTTATCATATTCAACATGTTATATTGTTTATTTTGTACCGCGAAATTTAAGTTTTCAGGTGGACGGAAGGTAAGGTTTGGGATATTTGCGATAATTTATTCCTGGAACAAACCAAAGATTAGTTGTACTTAAGTAACATTACGTTCTTGGTATCACGATGTCTATATCGAGTTTTGTTTAAAATATTTTGCCTGCAAATATTTCAATGATAAATATGGATACCCTGTGGTGTAGTAAAGTTAACTTAAATGGGATATTATGACCCTATAATGTGGATTTACGTGGGAAGTAAAAAAGTAACAGCCATTAATATGTATGTCTGCGCTAAGTTTAGATATATCGAGCACTTTATCACGCTGTTGTTTACAAAGAGAAAGAAGCACGTCATATTTGAATTTCATTCATCACTTGCCAATTTTAAAAAAAATGGATTAAGATGGTAACATTAACCAATTAATTGAGATATTTTTTACGCTTTAGGTATTGAAAAGAAGACAACATCATTAAGTATAAAATCAACATCTGCATTTCTAACTGAAATGTTAACTTCTACTACTGACAAGGAGGCTTCTGGTAATTATATTGAAAAACAAAATCAGTACGGACACCCACATTGTATTCGATACATATTTGGGTAACTTAAACAATGAATATACTAACTTTCAAAAGGTTTGATTATATAATTAATATGCTATTACGCAATATGGTGAAGTAATAGTCATCAGCGTTGTATCTTTTAAGTTTATAAAAAAATTAAAATTTTAATATTTTTAGTCAGAGTATTCCATTTGATGCTGAGTCAATATTTCAGGAATGCCTTAGGCAAATTATTATATTCTATATCGGAGTTAAGGTGGCTGGGGTGTCTTCCTCCATCTTGGATTTTGAAGTAGCAGATAACAATTGGTCTAGATCTTTAATGAAATGTGCAAATTTTTAGAGTAGTATGTAATTCACGTGTAAGACTTTTCATGTTAATATAGAAAATTATGTGTTTTATCATATTTACGGCTGTATTTTCTTAAAAAAACACAATATTTTTGTTTGATTCATTTTTTTTCAATTTGCCACATAAGGGGAGGTAACTCAGATTGTAGGGGAGATAACTCAGATAAAGTAATTTTAATAATAGAAAGTGTTGTGAATTTAACTATTTTAATATGTAGCAAGAAAACAAGTCCGGTGACCCCATTTTTTCTTTTTCTTTTCTGAAAGCATGTAATAAGAGCTATCTTTTAACATTTTATCTTAAAATTCTATGGTGTAGTTTTCTTTTAATCACACAAAATTGGATTTTCCATGCATAATTTATACAAAATCTGACAATTTTGCACAACCAGTAGCGTGAAAAAAAATCCGGTGGCCCATACTTTTTATCATATTTTGTAAAAAAGCATGATAAAAACTACATTTTGACAAATTATTGAAATATTCTATGGATTTTAAATAAGACACCCCATCCACCTCAAGTGCATTTCTCATATTCAACATGTTTACATTGTTCATATTGTACCTCGAAATTTAAGTTTTCAAGTGGATGGTAAGTAGGGTTTTTGATATTTGCGATAATCAATTCCTGGTGCAAACCAAAGATTTGTTGTACTTAAGTAACATTACGTTCTTGGTATCACGATGTGTATATCGAGTTTTGCTTAAAATAGTTTGCCTGCAAAGTTTTCAATGCTAAATACGGATACCCTGTGGTGTAGTAAAGTTAACTTAAATGGGATATTATGACCCTATTATGTGGATTTACGTGGGAGGTAAAAAGTAACAGCCTTTAATATGTATGTCTGCGCTAAGTATAGACATATCGAGCACTTTATCACGCTGTTGTTTACAAAGCGAAAGAAGCACGTCATATTTGAATGTTCATTCATCACCTGTCAATTTAAAAATAAAATGGATTAAGATGGTAACATTAACCAATTAACTGAGATATGTTTTCCCTTTAGGTATTGAAAAGGAGACAACATCATTAAGTATAAAATCAACATCTGCATTTCTTACTGAAATGTTAACTTCTGCTACTGACAAGGAGTCTTCTGGTAATTATATTGAAAAAAATAAGTACGGACACCCACATTGTATTCGTTACATATTTGGGTAACTTAAACCATGAATATACTAACTTTCAGAAGGTTTGATTATATAAGTAAATGCTACTACGCAAAATGGTGAAGTAATAGTCATCAGTGTTGTATCTGTTTACTTTATAAACAAATGAAGCTTTAATACTTTGAGTCAGAGTATTCTATTTGATACTGAGTCAATATTTTAGGAATTCCTCAGGCAAATTATTATATTCTATATCGGAGTTAAGGTGGCTGGGTGGTATAAATATCTAATATAGGATTTGGCTAATACTTTTTATAAATCAAATTTATCATATATTAAGTGGAAAATAAAAATAAAAAAATGGGTTCACCGTCTAGTTAAATTTTTTTGAAGGGTTCAAGTTTATTGGTTTTCATTCAAGATTACTATAGAAATGATAGGGAAATGAATGCATAGCCATCTTTTTTGAAGAATTTCTCATGAAACCTAATATAGGATTTTTTAATGTTTGTGTTTTTTCTGTTGCTTAAATAGTCTTTTTAAATAATAAAAAATAAAATCAACAAGTCACCGTCTAGTTAAGACAAAAAATGTAGATCATTAAAAATAATGAGTATTATTTCAAAAAGGGAGATAACTCTGTCTTTTACACATTTTTCTAATTTTGAGACCAGATATAGAAAGACCTGGTTATAAAAACTTGTTATACCTTCTATACATGTAAGACCATATATAATATATATAACATTTCCAAACAGTTGATTTGCATATTGGTTGCCATGGCAACCAGCAGTCAAAATGGAAAATCACTTATTTTTGGGATTTTTTTTAATTTTCAGTTCAAATTCAGTACCAAACAATTTGAAAAATGAGCAGGCAGTATCTATTACAATAGGGGTGTGTTTGTTTTTAGAACCTGCATATTTATATGGACTGTGGAATCCTTGAGGCAAATAGTTCTTAGTTTGTCTGCCCGTTCACTTGTTTAATACCACTGGTTTCAGTTTATAATTTTAGTATCTCTTGCTTGATTGTAATAAAACTTGCCTTTTTTATGAAACCTAGAGACTCACTCAGACACCTGACTTAAACTGATTTTTCAGTTTACAAGACAATCCCCCATCTGCAATAAATATCCCACCTCAGGGACCTCTAACATTAGTATTCCAATTTTGATGAAACTTTGCAAGGTATTTTTATTTTATTGGTGTTCTGTACAAAAATCAGGCTGTTTTGACATGTTTGAATTGCCTTACATTTGTCATTTGGTTTTATAGCTGGCCAAACGGTATGGAGTTGGCTCATTGTTAAAGGCCATAGGGGGGCATATACATGTATCTCTTAACTTCTATCTCTTTTGGTCTCTGGTGGCAAGTTTTCTCAGTGGCAATAATGCCCCGTATATCCCACCTTTTTATATATATTTGAAATTTTAAACACAATGCTGACAAATATAGCACACAGGACAGCTTCTATGTTTGTTGTATAATGGAATTATTACAGGAGCATATCTAAGTTTGACATAGACAAATTATTCTTTCATTTCCTAGTACTTGTTTATGTATAAAAATTAATACATGAGATAGTTGAACCTGATACACCCGCCATATAATACTTTTTTATATCTGTCAATTTATCCGTTTTATGCTTTTGAAATTACGTACATAAAAAATTTCAGGTTTAATAGTGTGATATTAGATTTGTATTAAATAGAAAATGTGTCTATAAGACACAGGATGTCCTGCCATTAAATGTAGGTCACAGTAATCAAATTGTTGATGACCTGTGTGGTATCATAAAAGAATAATGTAGTGATGATATATCACAACAGGTTTCTGTGAAATGAACCTAAACACAAGACTTAATGGTAACCAAAGACACAAAAGCAATAAATGTAGGTCAAAGTGACTCAAGTAATGTATAGTACTACTAGTATACAAGATGTCTGTGGAGAAAAAAATATCACTGATATATTACCATTAGTTTCTATGAAATAGAGATAAATGCAAAACTTTACTGGAAAGGGATGTACATACTTATGAACTGACAAAGGTATACTAGTATCAATCTATATAATCCATCCACATTTGTGGCAGGGCATAATAAAATCCAATCTTGGTAACTTTTTCAAATAAATATAAATAACAACATGCATTATTGTGACAAAAGTACTCATTTATGATCAAATTTCAGTTCCCATAAATTACTTATTAAGATTCAATAAATTCCCCCAAAACATTAACTAATTTAAAAGTGTTGAATTGCATGGTTTGATTAGTAGCAGGCCAATTTCACAGGTTTATTCTATTCATATAACCTTATGATTTTCTTTTCAAAGTGTGCCAATTTTTAAAAATCCTGTTCTGTATAATCAGTTATGTAAATACCTGTCACCCCCCCCCCCCCTTCCCTCCCTCTTACAATTAATTTAAGTGCACACATGTTTTTTATGCTAAAACAGTGTTTTTGAGATTTATAAAGTTCTCAACAGTAAATTATTTTGATAAGTGTGCCTTTTTCATTTCATATACTACCTTTATTTTCTTTGGTAGGATAGTAAGTTCACCAAATACAATGAACATGTGTATGACAATTGGGACTAACATTACAAGCAAGTTTTCCACTATAAATTGAAAAATATATTGCATTAGCATACATTGTACTTCTTAACATATGCAAAAACAATCTATTTCCTATAGCTTCTGTATTAATTTTTATGTGTAAATATGCGTTATTGCCTAAATTGACCAAATAACTTTTTTCAATCATGATGATGATGGGAGTTTTTAACGACTTTGACTGGCTATACAGCCCTTGCACTGTCATTTTTTTTTTCTATTCAATTATACATGGCCAAGCACGTTTTATACTCATGTTGAAGAATTAAAAAACCTTAAAAATTTTAATTTGGTAGAAAAAAAAACATTTTTATGTCATGCATCATGCATGTAAAGCCACCTTCTTTTGATAATCTTTTATTTTTCAGGCACACATTAATTAAAAATTTTGAATAATTGTAAAAAATCTTGAATCCTTGATACACTGAATGATTCTTCAATTGCTTTACATACATGCTACATAATATATTAGGGCATTTAACATTGTTAAATAAATTAATGTAAAAAATAAACTACCCAGGCTAAGCTACATGATTAAAATGGATATATCAGTATTGTCTTTTTAAAATAAAGATTGTATATTTACTTTGTCAACTCTTTTATAATTCCCTACTCTAACATGTCTAAGGTCATGCAAAGTCTATAAAAAATGTCTATTCAGTTTGAAAATAAAATTATTTTATTATTTTAAAGAGGTGGATTTAGGGGAGGTACATATATGGTTAATTCATAGCCTTTTTACATGTCCCACTTCAACCGTTGCCTAGTTTGGGAAGCCTTTTGCCCCTTTTTTCGAAATCCTGGAAACATATTTGTAACATTTTGTTACCTGCATTTCTTTCAGACAATACCTGGTAAATGAAAATATAAAAAAAACACACTAGACTTGCACTTTCTCAATTAAATTTTTACAGGCCTTTTAAAGCTGACTATGTGGTATGGGCTTTGCTCATTGTCGAATGCGGTGCAGTGACCTATTGTTGTTAATTTCTGTGTCATTTGTTCTTTTGTTTTATTGGATATCATACCACATCTTTTTTTTTATATAATGTTCTACTTTTAGGCAAAAATATATATTAAAATCATAGAATATCTACCAGCTCTAACTCAAAATATGGATGTTCACTTCCCATATGTTAAAAATACAAAACATGTACATTCATTTGTATGTAATAAAGAAATTATAAAAGTAACGAATCAATGAAATAACCTGAATAACCTTTTACATTTTGCCACTGTGAAAATAATTATAAGAACTATTACATGTACCCCCCTTTTCAATTCCAACTGATTTATAAGCATAGCCTGATTTGAATTTATCCAACTTTTTAATTCTGTCCATGAAAAGTGTACTGTTCTAGCAAAACACATACTGATATAACTTTATTAATTAAGACATTTGACATAGAATTTAAAAAAGAGAACAAAATTCTAATACAACAGTAAATTGTTTGAAATATATAGTTCAGTATGCACCTCACCTTATCCATGTTATCATTAAATAATCAACACAGTATGATATGTGCCAAGTTTTACATGAATAATCTACAGGAGGGACCCAGATTTTTTGAAAAAGAGGGTGGTGGGGTTACTGATGGATGGACAGACAGACTGACAGAGTGCAAACCAAAAGTCCATTCGACTTCGTCAGTAGGGGACTAATAATCTAAACTAACAACAGGGTAAATGAAAATTCTGTTTGCCATAGAAACTCCTGCCTTTTTCCCCGAAAAATCAAATAGTCATTAGTATTAATTAACTTATGGTGTCTGATGTAGACAACATTCTGTATGTATGTGCCTGTCCCAAGTCAGGAGCCTGTTATTCAGTGGTTGTCGTTTGTTGATGTGTCACATTTTTGTTATTGGTTCATTTTTTGTACATAAATTAGGCCGTTAGTTTTCTCGTTTGAATTGTTTTACATTTGTCACTCCGGGGCCTTTTATGGCTGACTTTATGGGCATTGCTCATTGTTGAAGGTCATTTGGTCTTTTGGAGAGTTGTCTCATTGGCAATCATACCATATCTTCTTTTTTATATATAACACAACTGCCAAGTTGCAAATAAATGGTGATTTAGTCAACACACCATGAATTACATTATACTATCGATCTTAGTTGTAAGATTAACCATGGTAATGTTCAACGACTCCTGGACCCTAAGTGGTCTGTAAATAATGTGTCATAACATTTACCACAAGTACATTGTACATTGAGCATCACTCATTTTAGTGTGGGTATTGCTGTGTTTTTGCTTATTCCAACCAGTCCCTGTCCCAAGTCGTGAAATTCTAGTCTTTTTTAGTCTTGTATGTATTTTAATTTTTGGTTCATTTATATGTTTTGGCGTTAAGTGTGACGTCCATTTTCCCTGGACAATACATTTTTGTTTAGGGGCTAGCTGGACCCTGCCTCCAGGGGCTGATTTTCTCGCTGTGTTGAAGACCCATTATACCCATAGTGGCCACAGGTCGTCTTCTATTTGGTTGGATTGCTGTCCTGACATGTAATTTTCCCCGTTTCCATTCTCAATTTTATATAATTAAATTTATAAAACACATTAATGTTTGTCCCTGTTTTTTGCTTTTTTTTCCATTTCCGTTAAAAAAATAACTTTCAAATGATTTTACGGTCGTGAATCATTCTTGTACTGGGATCATTCGAACACGATGTAAAAATTATATATCTTTAATAAACGAAGGATCGCATCGCTAGAAACTTAAAAAATACTTACATTTATGTTCATAGTTTGTTTACAAAATATTACATACATTTTACGCATATTTCCGGGTACTTTTCTAGTGTAAAACAAGTGTGAAACTGCTTCATAAGCTACTAAAATGAAGATCGTGTTCTAACATTTTCGATCTTTGTTTCAGTATTCATGAAAAGCAGCCCACGTGTTCAATTATTGTGATTTATCTTGTGTTTATCTTCTCACGCCGGCAAGAACATGCCATTACCACAAAACGGAATTGCATTTACAACAATGAAAATAACAATAAATTTTTTTGTAAAATTCTAGAATTACAGTTTTCGATAACAACATTCTTTTGTTATATATTTAAATCAAATAGATTATTTATAATAATCAAAATAAATTATTATTGACAATTACGACAATAGAATGACTTACGATATCGATGCGCAACTTCCTGCGCAGTTGGCGCGAAAATTTGAACCCGCGAGCCCCCTTAAGTACATTTCTCATATTCAACATGTTTACATTATTTATATTGTCCCTCGAAATTTTAGTTTCCAGGTGGTCGGTAGGTAGGGTTTTGGATATTTGTGATAATTAATTTCTGGTGAAACCATTACTTAAAGCTATCGAATTTAAAATCTTAAAATATAAAAATTATTGCAGCAAATCTAGCATTATGTATTTAAATTATATATCCTTAAATGTAAATGAAGTTGAAAGAAAGATAAGTATCATCCTCCCGTAAAAAATCCTTATTATATTGTCAATTGTTTACATACTTACATCAGATTGAACTAATGCATCACGAAATGAACAAGATATTACTATTTATTTTCACGATTACAATTATCCGTATATCGGCCCTATCACGTCAAAAGGGAAACGGGAAAGGGGACTGGATTTTAGTTTAGATTTGTTTATAGCAAGCACAACGTCATAATTCTGATCATTAAACATTTAAATGATACCCCTTGTCCTGTATTATGTATTGAAACAAAACTGAAAGATATGGAGTTTGGTTGCTGTAGCATTATCGTATATTAACACTATCTCTTATTCAAAAGAAATATTGATTGAAAAAGGTGCATTTTAAAACAACCACATACCACTGTTTGTTAATGATATATTCTTTTTTTTGTATATTTAGATGACCAGGCTGACGTGGATGACAAAAAAGAAAAAAGAGCAAATTGGGTTAATCAAAACGGTATGTGCAAAATGTATAAGACAAAAACAGAAGAGAAATTAATCGTCGAGACATGTAAGATACAATAAAGCCAGTTAAATTATCAAAAAAATATTATTGCCAAAAGTATAAAAGTTATAAGTCGAAAAAAGATCATGAGAAAACTCTAAAGATTAGGGATTATTATGATGCAGCACTTCTCCGTTTGTTCTTTTTCAAGAATTTTACACATTTTCTTAAGACAAAATACGGATAAATTATACCATTTCCTATTTATCAAATCTATGCAGATTCCTTGTTTTACTTATATAAAAAGAAAATGAATAATTTTAGCTGTTCTAATGCATTAGAACCTTCTTGCCTTGACCTTGCTGAACAATGTGATGTTTACAGATTAGCAACATCAACATACTGATGTCATATATACAAAATGAAACAATATTTTGACAATCAGCTTAATCATTTTGATTTGCCTATATACTTTAGTACTATGTAATTGCAAATTAATGTGAAAATATCTCTTTTATACAACACACAGGTGCGCTTATTGGTGGAATAGTATCAGGAGTTGCCGTTCTTACTGTAGTTACAACACTAGCTGTATGTAAATTCAGGTAAAATATCTAGATAAATAATGCATTACATATCAATATGAAATTGTAATCTTTACACAAGTACTTTAATAGATGTAACACTTGTACATGAATACCTTATGATACTTACCTGTCAAAAATATGCAAAAATGTTTTGTTATACATGTTCGTTTCTCCATATAGACAATTACATTTCTGCTCATTGATATACCTGTATTTTCAAATTGATAACTCACCATATATGACTACCATTTTATACAAAACAATGCATTCATTTCATTTCATGGAATGAACTAGTAAGACGACTGATACACTATCTAAACGTGTCATGTCTTATATGCAGCACAGTGTTTTTAGAAAGAAAAACAAATACACATATTAAACAAATGGTTTACCAGATGTTCTAATCGCGCTGAGTCTAGAAAAACTGTAAAAAAGTATTTGTGACTTAATAGTAAAGTTTGTCTAATAATCAACACTGAATATTGTAATGAATAATAGTAAACGAAGAAAAAAAAAACGGTTCATTCAGATTTAATCATAAACAATTACTTAAGAACATCAGTTCCTTTAACTATAATTTAATCTTTTTTCTTTTAATGTCTTTATTGTCTCATTTAAATCCCTGCAGAACCGTTTTAATTTACCGATCACTTATAGATAATACGTATATCCAAAACGATTAGTTGTACGTAAGCAAAATTAAATTCTTGGTATCACGATGTCTATATCGAATTTTGCGTAAAATATTTTGCCTGCGAGGTTTTCAATGCTAAATATGAAGACCCTGCTGTAGTAAAATTATCTTAAATGGGATATAATGACCCTATATTGCTTCAATCAAGCATAAACGTTTTTTTCAAATATTTATTTTGGATCAAAGTCCTATGACTGGTCAAAGCTTAGAAAGGTGTGAATCAAAAGTGACGTTCGAACTGTGTAATGACAAAAATTAAGATGGTAAAATACTTAACAGTTTTTAAACTTGATTATCCTAACAATTAGTAATGAGGGATGATCTGAAATAAAAGTTTAGGTTGGACATTTTTCTGGATTAAACTTTTTTTGTGAGTACTCGATTTTTCTTACGTCGATTTCAGTGTTATAATCATATACACATTTTACAATTTAAAAATAGTATATGATTATGCAAATACCAGTAACTTACATTTTTCAGATCAATAGGACCTTTCAAATCGGGAGATGACAATACAAATCAATCAGTTATATTTTCAAACAACTCGGAAAAAGGCAAAACTACTAAAACAGTATTGAATCAATCACACAGCTCCGACAAATTTCAAATGGTGAATAAAAATGAAAGGGCAGGAACAGGAAATGCAGATGTTGACAATATTTACACTGATTCATCTAATGGAGAATATGACCTCTTAAATGATTTGCAGAGACGGAAGATTAGATTACAAGAAAATGTATACGACAGCAATGCAATAATGCAAAATCAAGATGACCAAACGTATGATCGATCAGTGTTCAGGAAATTGTGTCATGAAGGAGATGTGAATGATTATTCATTGGCAACAAGAAGAAACAGTGGGGATTATGACTTTGCTTTAAATTATAAAGCTGAAAAAGGGAATGAAAATGACATATATGATAAAACATGTTAACATTTCAAACCTTACCTTACTACACAGGGTAGATACGAGAGAGAGATTGATTATACAATATATGTGTTATTATTCTATTGTTTTGTAGATAAATCAGACCATAAAATGATTGTTTGAATTGATAACATTTGTTTTTTTTTTTCGGTGCGTTTTATAGCTTGCTATGCGCTATGGGTTTGGCTTATTGTTGAAGGTCGTACGTGGACTTATAATTCCTTGCTTATACATGATTTGGATTTGGTTGTGAGTTGTCTCATTGGCAATCATACCACATCTACTTATTTTTATAAAGTGGTATTCAAACTCATAAGTCGATGACGAACTGACAACGCCATGGTTAAAAACGAAAAACGACCAAAAAGATAAACAACAGTATACAAATCATAACATGAAAATTTAAGACTTAGCAACAGGAACCCCACCACAAATCGGGGATGATCTTGTGTAAAACTATTTATAAAAACGAACAAATAAACAATAATTCCCCATTCATTCTTTATCTTTTTCACATGTTATCGATTATAACCTGTATGAAGACATGCGATCTAGAACAAACGAAAGTAAAGCAAAATTTCGATTAATTTGTATGACGTTGGTACCGATTATGTAAGATATTTTTAAATTTCAAAATGATTGATAGCATGTAAACGTCAGGACAATCATATTCAAATAAAACAAAATGTTACAGGGATTTTTCTTTTTACATTAAGTATGATAGTTTATTTCATAAACCAATATAGAAATAATCAGAATTTACATTTAAATAAACTATAAGATTGAAAAAATGAATTTGAGTACATTGCATGATTTTTGTATCTAGGTATTTGTGTGACAAGGATGCATGTGAATGTGTAACCTTATCTTTACCCGTATCATATGGTAATATTAAGTCGTCATGTTATCTTTACATGGACTTTTGGATCAATTTTGATCTAAGAATATCAACAACATTTGTAACATTTATTCTGCAAGGAAGGGAAATTGTGAAAGTTAAATTCCTATAAAGGGCACCTACAGTTATTGCTCATCACTAATTAAAGCTATAAACATAAAAAAACAACTACATAACTAAACATTCCTGGCATGGGACAGGCATATATAATAAGAACAACCCGGAATGCTGTTTTTCTTTATTATCCTCCATCGAGATAGCCTAAACCAATACTCTAAAATCCAGTGATGTATAAAACCTAAAACATGTAAAATGAAAAGCCAAAGACATATAAATTAAACTTAACTTGGTGTAGTATGAACACAAGCTTTATATTGATTTATATATTTATTTCTGGATAATTGAGATTGTCAGTACCAAAGTACTGCATGTTGCATTAATAGTATCCTTATAATAACAGTCCACTTGCATTGCTATCGACCCAGCGCCATCAAATGGTTATAACACGTTAAAGATATTGTGCGTTCGAAGATTTTGTCTAAATTTACCTTGATCAATGCTAAGATGATGTTTAATTACTCGAGGAGCTACATGACAAAAAAGGATCAGAATTGAAAAAGCATAACACGCTACAGTCAACTCAGTCTGATGGGGTTTAAACCCAAATTCCATATTGACCCACGGAATTTTCAAAAACGTATGTTATAGATAGTTTCAATGTTGAAGCACTTATCACTAATTAATGACACCCTGTACGGTATTGATGCAGTGAAAGCAACGTTTTATTAAATTTATTTATGTTTGTTTTTTTTCGAAATTTTGTTTTTATTTCAACTTTTTAAGAAACGTTTATTTTGGTATTATTGGTTTAAAAATGTGTGTGAGCGATCAACCCTTTCCATAATCAAGGACAGTGGTGTTACAGTGAATCTAAAAAACCGTAACAATCAGTTGAAAAGTGTTTTTCGTTTTCCTATTGACTTAGTATATTGTATTTTTTTTTTAAATTCGATATTTGTATTTTCTGATCAGTTCAATATAATGTTTTTGTTATTGATTGTTTTTGTCATATTAGGTTAAAATGTATTACAAGATACACATTTATGTGAAAAGTATGAAATCCTGAATATACTGAGATGAAAGTCAATTAGAATATTTATCAATAACCAACTTTCACTTCCTTGTTTTAGAGATCAAAAATCAAAGTTTTATTTTATTATTTAAAACAATAACGCTAGAAACTACGACAAAATACAGTACTTGCAACCTTAGGCGTTACTGTTTTAGCGATCAATCAGCGGTCATCGATCAGTCACAGATCAGTCAAGTTCGCGTCAAACTCACGTCACCAATCCGTCAGACTTATAGTAAAAGTTTTTGACTGATCAGACGGGTAGGACGGATAGGACCGATCGACCTTTATGACGGATTGAACTCTACTACGTCACATGATAAACTAATACAAATTACGAAATCTTAGTTTCGTTTCATTTAATTCAAATGGCGACATGGAAAATAAGAAACATTCCAGTACAAATGATCAACATCTTTTTTTATTAATTATTCAGCACAGTTTTAAGAATTTAAAAAGAAAAAAATATGCATATAAAACTAAATTTAATTATAACTATTAACGAATGGCCATTTTCGTTTTAATTTAGGTTATATTTTTTCAAACCCGGACATTTCAAAAACGGTGTTGGTCGCGATTTTCAGTGATTTTATTATTTTCCGAAAATGCTCTTGAAAATAAAATGAAATGATCATTTACTGCAAATTTCGATGTATTATTTTTAAATATTTTTAAGTATTTTATCCTTATAATCTTAAAATTCTTTGAACAAACTTATCCCGAAGCCATTAAAATAACAAATCACAAATGAAAATAAAAATGCTGCAAATTCTCTTAAAAATAACAAAATATTGGTAATTTTAAACAACGAGAACAACATTATAGTATATTTTTTCTGATAGTCTTTTAACTTAATAAAAAATAATCAATCCTAAGCTATAAAAAGTACAAAATTCCAATGACGGTCAATAATTTTCGTTCAAATAAAGGAATTATTGCATTCTATTTCAACAAAAACAAAAGTTTATGCATATCTATCCTTCTTTATTCACATTTTATTAAAAATTTCTTATCTAAAGGCATTTATAATGACTGATAGCAATTGCATTGCTGTATTTCTGATATAAAAGAAGAAATATTTGTATTTTTATGCAATGCGAATATTAAATTTAGTATCTGATCCCTTCAATTCAACATATTGTATGAAATGCAACCAATCCTGATGTACAAAAAGTACTGAAATCAAATGGTGATTCATTATTTCTATCAACATGAAGATATTATTGCATTCATTTTCAACACCAACAAAAGTTTATGTCTTATTCTACTTACAATATTAAAATTCTTATAAAAAAAATAATCTTGAAGCCTTTGAAATAACTAGTTACAAATAACATTGCATTATTTTTTAACAAACAAAACAAGAGAAATTGGTAATTTTAAACAATGCTAACAACATTTAAGGATATTTTCTATGATCTTCTTTTACTTTTATGAAAAACAACCAATACTAAACTATGAAAAGTACAAACATCTAATGACAGTCAATAATTTTCATTCAAATAAAGAAATTATTGCATTCTTGTTCAACAAAAACAAAAGTTTATGCATATTGATCCTTCATTTATTCACATTTTATTTAAAAATACTTATATAAAGGCATTTATAATGACTGATAGTAATTGATGTTGCATTATTTCTGATATAAAAGAAGAAATATTTGTATTTTTAAGCAATGCGAACATTACATTTAGAATCTTTTCCCTTAAATTTAACATATTTTATGAAATACAACAAATCCTGAACCATAAAAAGTACAAAAAGCCATAGGCGTTCAATAATTTCCATTAAAAAAGAGAAATTATTGAATTCTTATTAAAAAAAACAAAAGTTTATGTATATTAATCCTTAAATTATTCATATCTTATATAAAAGTACTTATCTGAATGCATTACTTATGACTGATTGCAATTGAAGTTGAATTATTTCTGATATAAAAGAAGAAATATTTGCATTTTTAAGCAACGTGAACACAAATTTAGTATCTTTTCCCTGAAATTCAGCATATTTTATGAAAAAAAACTAATCCTGATGTACAAAAAGAACCAAAATCAAATGACGGTTCATAATTTCTATCAAAATAAAGAAATTATTGCATTCTTATCTAACAAAAACAAAGGTTTATGAATATATTCTTCAATGATTCACATTTTATACAAAATTACTTATCTAAAGGCATTTATAATGACTGATTGCAATGCAACTGAAGTTGCATTATTTCTGATACACGAAAAAAAATTTAGTATATTTTCCCTGAAATTGAGCATATTTTATGAAAAACAACCAATCCTGATGTACAAAATGTACCGAAATCAAATGACGGTTCATAATTTCTATCAAAATAAAGAAACTATTTAAATTGTATTCAACACAAAACAAAAGTTTAAGAAAAATTCTCCTTACATTATCAAAATTCTTACAAAAAAAATTATTTTGATTTTATAAAAAACAACCAATCCTGAACCATAAAAAGTACAAAACACCATAGGCGTTCCAATAATTTCCATTAAAAAAGAGAAATTATTGAATTCTTATTAAATAAAAACAAAAGTGTATGTATACTTATCAGTAAATTATTCATATCTTATACAAAATTAATTATCTGAATGCATTAATTATGACTGATTGCTATTGACGTGCATTATTTCTGATATAACAGAAGAAATATTTGCATGTTTAAGCAACTCGAACAAAAATTTAGTATCTTTTTCCTGAAATTCATCATATTTTATGAAAAACGACCAACCCTGATGTACAAAAAGTACAAAATAATGAAATGATTGCATCTTTAATCAACACAAATAAAATTTAAGTATTTTAATACTTATTTTTTTTAAATTCTATCAAAGAAGCTTTTCTTGTTTCCTTTTAAATGACTAATCAGAAATAACATTGCATTATATGTTATAAGAAGAAGAAATATTGATAATCTAGAACAAAAATTAAAACAACACTCTAAATTAATTAATCCAAACAAAGCTGTATGTATCTTTACTGTTCTACTGTTTTTATT